ATAAACCATTACTAGAAGAAACTTCACACGAGAGAACATAAGATAGTTTCATCATGTAACGATTCCGCCTTATTCCAATATTTACACTTCACAATTTCAATTTCCATTTGCACAGTTTTTCTCCAAGTGAATATTCCACGTTTTCCGACAATAAAAAGGAACAAAGAGACACATTTTTCTTATCTATCAAACTTCCTTTCGTTTCTTGCCATTTCTTCCTTCACAAAAATTCCTCTTCCGTCTTATTCACCCTTTGAAATCATTTCAATTACACCCTGTATACACTACCGGCAAAAAGTTTGTAATCACCTCCCAATTTTCATCAGTACTGAATCTGCTACTAATTTTTCATAGACTTGATATTGATACGAATGACACAAAATTCGTTAAAAAATTCTTAAAGCTGTTGACTTTTTTCTGGGAATTTTTGTGTAACTTGCAATGCACAGTGATTCGAAACTTTTGGCCGGTAGTGTGTTTGAAATAACGAAGCTAAATAGGTAATCGTTGGGAAAAGTGAAATTATTTCGATTAAATACATTATTTTTCCAAAAAAGAAAAACGACGTTTCATATGCTCGAACCTAATCAATTTGCATAATTACATCGTTCTTTCTAAACCAAAGGTGTATGCACACGTAAACTATCCTCAAATCGCTCAATTGTCCATTAGACTCGCGTCAGTTTCCTAAACATTCACCAGGGAAGGCTGCGAAGTATGGTAAATCATAGGAGGGCGCAAATAACCACTTAGTATCGTGACTGCCACACGTTCACCAGAGACGAGGCGGCGTAAATGTTGCGTGAAAATCTGTGGAGAAGCTTGGAACGCTTCTCGCGAACCCTGTTTGCCCTCGTTCCACCATTTGCGATGAGAATTAATGCCTAAGTACTTTATCTTCGAGATAGCAGCCTCCACTTTCATTCGTTTCCCTTGTTCTTGCCCTTTTCGAAAAGATAGCTTCCATTTAAGTTTGCTTCTTTCTCCTGTCAATTTTTCATTCCCGTAAATTACCAACACTTTCATTTGTTTCTCATCAGCGTACTTCTTTATTCGAGAAAAACTTCTTCCATCTCAATCTGCCTCTTTCTCCTGTCGATTTTTTCTTTCTGTTTTTAATTATCACCACTTTCGTTTGTTTCTCATCAGCGTACTTCTTCTTTCAAGAAAAACTTCTTCCGTTTTAATTCGCTTCTTTCTCCTGTCAATTTTTTCTTCTTTTTTTTTTTAAATTAACAACACTTTCACTTACTTCTTACCATCGTATTTATTTTCTTTTTAGAGAAAAGTTGCTACTATTTCGATTCGCTTCTTCTCTTTAATATCTTCCTCTTCGTAAAAGTGCTCGTTGCCTTTGATTCTTCGTAAATCTGCTCTAGCTTTGAGAAGCTTCTTATTTTACTGGGTTCTCCTTCGAAGAAGTTGCTGGCTACCTCGTTTTGCTCCTTTTCCTCTTACTTTTTTCGCTTCACACGATCTCTGCCTCTCGATGAAGGAGGCGCGTTAATACTGTCGGTTAACTAACCGCAACCGCGTCTTAATTATACAGGTAATTCGAGTTTCGCGGCTGAAGAAGTGGCGGCGGTATTGCTGGCGTGCAAATTACCCTAGTAGTCACTTGCTTTTCACACCTAATATATACACTTGGTACCAAAAGTAACAAATTACAAACGAACTTGGACAATTTGAAAAAAAGAATGGCACAATTCCCATTAGTATGTGCATATATAAACGAGACGAGAGCATTTCTGAGAGACGAGAGTTTCGCTTCTTTTTTTATTGTTATTCATTTTTTTATCCGATGTTTAGAATAACATACGTTTGCTTTTTTAACGTATATATAATCATTTGTTTCTCGATCATACCGATATATCCTGCTATTTGCCGTACAACAATAGAATGCAATTGGCAATGATTAACGACGCACTTTATTCAATGCACGATGGAATCGCGTTTTCAAACACTTGCGCACTTTTACAGACTTCGGGAAATCAGGAAGTGCACTTCGAATGGTTGCGGTTGGAGCGCCGATTAGATGGCCTTCCAGTGAATCAAGGGTGCGATGCAATAATCGTTGCACGCAATTGAAACGAACCATATACGACGAACCGCGGTTAAATAAACGTTGTAGGCGGTGAACGCGTAATCGTGGAATTTATTTTTATAGATGAAGGATAGAGTCCTTGATGAAGCTGGTAATAACAATGCTCGAGTACACGGAATAATCTATTCGTTGCATTTGTTCAGAAGAAAAGAATACATGTGATTGATGGTATTTCGAAAGATATGTGTGCAATTTATGTGTACACTCTTTGGTAATATTAAAATTACTTAAATATTGTTGTAGAAGTACTTACAGATAACATACGGTTACCTTAATTGTTTCTTTTAAGTTTTACTAATTATACTATTTTTTTCTTCTTCAAAATTACCCTTTTTTGTGCTTTCGTACCTTTTGCCGTTTGACAATTTTCTTGCAAAATATAAGTTTCGCAACGTGTAAATTAACGAAATGTAATTTGACGTCATTTTGGTAAAGGAAAAAGTTGTTCAGAGTCACCCCAGCAACCCCCTATTTCCGGGTGTTACACTCTTTACGGGACACCCTGTATACACTACCGGCCAAAAGTTTGGAATCACCTCCCAATTTTCATCAGTACTGAATCTGCTACTAATTTTTCATAGACTTGATATTGATACGAATGACACAAAATTCGTTAAAAAATTCTTAAAGCTGTTGACTTTTTTCTGGGAATTTTTGTGTAACTTGCAATGCACAGTGATTCGAAACTTTTGGCCGGTAGTGTGTTTGAAATAACGAAGCTAAATAGGTAATCGTTGGGAAAAGTGAAATTATTTCGATTAAATACATTATTTTTCCAAAAAAGAAAAACGACGTTTCATATGCTCGAACCTAATCAATTTGCATAATTACATCGTTCTTTCTAAACCAAAGGTGTATGCACACGTAAACTATCCTCAAATCGCTCAATTGTCCATTAGACTCGCGTCAGTTTCCTAAACATTCACCAGGGAAGGCTGCGAAGTATGGTAAATCATAGGAGGGCGCAAATAACCACTTAGTATCGTGACTGCCACACGTTCACCAGAGACGAGGCGGCGTAAATGTTGCGTGAAAATCTGTGGAGAAGCTTGGAACGCTTCTCGCGAACCCTGTTTGCCCTCGTTCCACCATTTGCGATGAGAATTAATGCCTAAGTACTTTATCTTCGAGATAGCAGCCTCCACTTTCATTCGTTTCCCTTGTTCTTGCCCTTTTCGAAAAGATAGCTTCCATTTAAGTTTGCTTCTTTCTCCTGTCAATTTTTCATTCCCGTAAATTACCAACACTTTCATTTGTTTCTCATCAGCGTACTTCTTTATTCGAGAAAAACTTCTTCCATCTCAATCTGCCTCTTTCTCCTGTCGATTTTTTCTTTCTGTTTTTAATTATCACCACTTTCGTTTGTTTCTCATCAGCGTACTTCTTCTTTCAAGAAAAACTTCTTCCGTTTTAATTCGCTTCTTTCTCCTGTCAATTTTTTCTTCTTTTTTTTTTTAAATTAACAACACTTTCACTTACTTCTTACCATCGTATTTATTTTCTTTTTAGAGAAAAGTTGCTACTATTTCGATTCGCTTCTTCTCTTTAATATCTTCCTCTTCGTAAAAGTGCTCGTTGCCTTTGATTCTTCGTAAATCTGCTCTAGCTTTGAGAAGCTTCTTATTTTACTGGGTTCTCCTTCGAAGAAGTTGCTGGCTACCTCGTTTTGCTCCTTTTCCTCTTACTTTTTTCGCTTCACACGATCTCTGCCTCTCGATGAAGGAGGCGCGTTAATACTGTCGGTTAACTAACCGCAACCGCGTCTTAATTATACAGGTAATTCGAGTTTCGCGGCTGAAGAAGTGGCGGCGGTATTGCTGGCGTGCAAATTACCCTAGTAGTCACTTGCTTTTCACACCTAATATATACACTTGGTACCAAAAGTAACAAATTACAAACGAACTTGGACAATTTGAAAAAAAGAATGGCACAATTCCCATTAGTATGTGCATATATAAACGAGACGAGAGCATTTCTGAGAGACGAGAGTTTCGCTTCTTTTTTTATTGTTATTCATTTTTTTATCCGATGTTTAGAATAACATACGTTTGCTTTTTTAACGTATATATAATCATTTGTTTCTCGATCATACCGATATATCCTGCTATTTGCCGTACAACAATAGAATGCAATTGGCAATGATTAACGACGCACTTTATTCAATGCACGATGGAATCGCGTTTTCAAACACTTGCGCACTTTTACAGACTTCGGGAAATCAGGAAGTGCACTTCGAATGGTTGCGGTTGGAGCGCCGATTAGATGGCCTTCCAGTGAATCAAGGGTGCGATGCAATAATCGTTGCACGCAATTGAAACGAACCATATACGACGAACCGCGGTTAAATAAACGTTGTAGGCGGTGAACGCGTAATCGTGGAATTTATTTTTATAGATGAAGGATAGAGTCCTTGATGAAGCTGGTAATAACAATGCTCGAGTACACGGAATAATCTATTCGTTGCATTTGTTCAGAAGAAAAGAATACATGTGATTGATGGTATTTCGAAAGATATGTGTGCAATTTATGTGTACACTCTTTGGTAATATTAAAATTACTTAAATATTGTTGTAGAAGTACTTACAGATAACATACGGTTACCTTAATTGTTTCTTTTAAGTTTTACTAATTATACTATTTTTTTCTTCTTCAAAATTACCCTTTTTTGTGCTTTCGTACCTTTTGCCGTTTGACAATTTTCTTGCAAAATATAAGTTTCGCAACGTGTAAATTAACGAAATGTAATTTGACGTTTGCTGAAGTTTGGTGTAATTTTACGCTTTGTGAAATGTAATTATAAATATTTGCTTCGTTGTATTATAATTTTTCGAAAAGTAGAAGTTCGAATTGCAAAGAGTGATTCGTTGAAGAAATATAATCTTTGTGTCTTTTGCAGGGTGACCAAGGTATACAGGGTTTCCCCGGAGCTCCAGGACTGTCGGTTCGTACAAATCTCCATTTCATTAGAAATTCATTCGTCGGGTTTCAATTTTTACATCGAAGCCTGAGGCGTAATTTAAATTCTGCTAGCTATGAATTTAAACGCTCGAAACGATTTTTGTTTCCATAGAACGTAATACACAGAAGTGTGTCATACTGAAGAAAAATTTATCTCCATAAAGTACCAGCACTATTTTGTATTGTAAAACCATGAAAATTCCAAATCCGGTGACAAAATCTCATCAAACTTTTCGAAATACTCCAGAATCATGAAAAATGTCTTAATTTCTCGAATGGTCAAAGATTTATTTAAATATAACTCTTCATAAGGGAGGATCTGTTCCTCGGTGTCGAGATTCTCCTGAATAAAGCCAAAAAAAGGAGTCACAGAAATCTGGAATAATTAAATGTTTGGCTGCAGGGTAACCCCGGTTTACCGGGTGTAATGGGACCAGACGGTCTGGACGGATGCAACGGGACCGATGATGGTGAACGTGGTCCACCAGGTCCAGACGGAGAGATTGGACCCTCTGGTGACCCAGGTGATGGAGGTATCAATTCCAAGGGCACGAAAGGTATGCGCGGGAATCCAGGTATCGACGGGCCTATGGTAAGAACCTTTATGATTTCTAGGTTTTACGTTTGATAAGGACTATTGTTCTAGTGTTCAGAATCAATTTTGTTAAGAGTTAAAAAAATGAAAAGAGTTCGAAATGTAAATTTTCTTTCTCTGTTTATAACGTATTTAAAGAGTGAGAGTGTTGATCCATTTTGTTAAGAATTCAAATATATTGTAAAGTGGATGTGACAAACTTTTTTCTATGTTTATAACGTATTTAAATAGTGAAATTATTAATCGATTTTGTTAAGAATTAAAATACATTATAAAGTAGATGGGAAAATTTCTCACCTGAAACTTTCAAACCAATACATTTCAATCTTAAATCATCTATCCATCCTCCCAAATCTAAAACCAAGTGAATACACCAAAAACAATAAAACGTACATTACAAACGAAACAAAATCGATTTTAGCCACACGAATAGACCTTAACCCAAAATGCAGACATCCTAATAAAGTGTAACCGGTATTCTTGCAAATTCAAAACACGTGCAAGTCAATACCTGTGATTAGATCGATCATCCATAGATCGTTCAATCGATGAAAATTTGAATATCCTCAACCAGCATGCTCTCCAGATAAACACGTATCACCTCGTCGCGCGGGAGACAGACAGAAAATTGTTGTTTCCTCGTCGAAGGATCGTCCTTCGCGGATAAATCGCGTCCACTGAAATGTAACCATTCCTGAAGACGAGAAAGATAGCGGAGAGAGACCAGAAAGGGACGGGAATAGTTGAACACGCGTTACTGTTCCACGGTGAACTCGCCTATATAGTTTCGGGACGTGATAGGAATGCGAGGGAGCAAACGCGGCAGCAGAGATGGTGCAGAATGTTCGTTTTTTCGCCTGGACAGTGTCGAGAGAGATCGGCGAGTTGTCGAGAGACTTCGAATTCGAGACTGGCCAAGAACTCTTTCGACCGATGCTCGTTTTATCGACCTCTCTCCGCTACTCTGGGATATTTGCTATGCCAGGGGAGAGAAGTGACAAAAGTTTATTCGAAGCGAAAATTGATTGGGAAGTTGGCCATTGGGTTGTCGTAAATTTTTCTAAGAAGGCTTGGATAATGTTGAAGGTGCTGAATCGTCGAGGAGGTTCAATTGGACGCTTTAATTTTCCGCTTGATGCTCGTATTGATCTTCCCGCATCGGAAACTTGTTTATCGAGTATTGCAAAAAGACGTTTCTTTGCATGCTTGGATGACGATGAGAACGTTCGGTTTTTAAGGAGCGTCAGTTGTCGATATCAATGTTTAAATTAGTTATGGTAATATTTTGTCATTTATTCAGAGGTAAATTTAGGAAACTATGATTACTGATTTATCATTCAGAAATAAGTTCTCGTTATTTGAATAGAGACTTTCGTACAATGTTTCGATCAGGAAATGAAGAGTAACAGTTACTAATTTCTAAAGCTCTTCATAAAATTGATTTTGAATTTTTTGAACAAGCAATTCAACAGCATCCACGTTTTTGCAGGAATACAATTGATGCGTGACTCAGAACACGAGCATTCGAAATAAATTCGCGACATTTAAATGCACTATTCTTTCATTTGAATAGGCTTTTATAATTTGAACTTGGCATTTAAATAGACTTTCGTACAATGTTTCGATCAAGAAACGAAGAGTAATAATTACTAATTTTTAAAGCACTTCATAAAATTGATTTTGTTTTGTTTTTTTAGTTAGCAATTCAACAGCGTCCACGTTTCTGCAGGAATATAATTGATTTACGATTCAAAACACTAGTACACGAAATAAACTCTCGTCATTTGAATTAGAATTCGTCATTTAAACAGACTTTGGTACAATGTTTCGATTAAGAAACGAACCGCAACAATAACTAACTTCCAAATTTCGGCACAAAATTAACTTCGTATTCTCCGAACAAACAATTCACCGAATTCGTCATACTTGCTACACTTCAACAACCTCAACTCGAACACGCCAGAATTCCAACGCAAACAGTTTCCCATTCTGCAACCAAAACCGCACTCCCCTATCCATCGATCACAAGAAAGGCCACAGTTTGTCATTGAAAGCACGTTTGAATAGCAAGAACTCCGCGAAGAAATTCCACGAATCTCTCAACTTCCCCCGGAAGTGTTGGTTCGATCTACAACTAAAAAAAATGGCGAATTTTCTGCGCAGGGCTATTCAGGGCAAATTGGGATCTCCGGTGAGATGGGCCCTCCAGGACAGACGGGCGACATGGTGAGTAGGAGATCGCAAGTTTATTCGTTGGTATCTCGCTTCGAGTACCGTAACGACCGATCGGGCGAACCAAGAGGGTTCGTGAACCTCTTACAGGCGTTTAGGTCGTGCCTCTGGTTCGCCAAGCCACGAACCAAACCGGAGAAAGAGAGTGCGCGCGGATGAGAGAAAGAACGGGATAAAGAGAAAGAGACTGTACAGAACGGTGCGTCTCGTTCCATTTTCTGAAACGTCACATGCTCGCATGAAATACCGTCCGGTTGGATAAATGTTTCCCGGGTAATATTTAACGGGCACGCCGGAAACAAGGCGAGCGCAGCGAAAACGGGGGTGGGGAATTTAAAAGAATTCACCGGCGGGCGCGATATCACGCGTTGATAAGCCGCCTCGCGGCGGAATCCTCTTACACGGGCTGCGTAAAAATCGCCGCAGAACGATCGTGTAACCATCTTTTGTCCGTGCTCCTTTCAAGCCTCCTTTGCCGCGATAAAAATCGCCTCGAGCCGACGAGCGCCGTGTAAAATGGGCTAACGAGATGGCGAGGTGATGTTGCTTCAAAAAATTTATTCGATTTGCATAAAACGTGTGTGTGTGTGTGTGTGTTTGTATTCGATTTTTGGAAGTGTTTGCGCTGTTCTGTTCTTGTTTCGCTCGAAATTCGCGCGAAACGAAAGAGGAGTAACGAGATAACCCAATAGATAAGGAACTTGTTCTGCAGGATATGAAATTTAAAATTAAATGGAAATTAGCGAATAGATTCGGAAATTTTGTCTTTGTTAGAAATGAATAGAGAATGATAGGGGATTAAGGAGTCTTGTACGTTTCTCGATTTTTAAAAATTGATAATTTTTGCTTTTTTACATGTTTTGAAAGGTACATATTGTTGAAGAGTGAACTCGAAGTTCGAATTGCATACCAATAGGTATCCTGTAGAATATGAAGTAAGAGAGATTGATAGAAAAATTTTTTCAGGTTAAAGTTAAACAGAAATTAGGGAATAGATTCTGAAATTTGACTCAAGTATCATACTGAAACAAACTCCTCTCGAGATCTAACGACTTTCAGATTAAAAGTCACACCTTTTTCAGAAAACGACGATACAGTATGTTATAAATTTCTCTAGCTCTAAATAAAATTCCCTGAGACTCCTCCAAAGTTTAACAAGTGACTAAAAGTTGCAGAAAGAGAAATTTTAGAAAGATACACAGTTTTTCTTACGGGGCTCGAGTGCCATATTGACCCTTTGAGTGCTTGCTGAAATGTGGTACTTTTTCTTATCTAATTTTTCATTTATTTCAACGTACTACGGATATATCCATTTCCTGATCTTTGCAGTCTTATTTCCTATCTGAACCTCTTACAAACGAAATTTTAAGTATTCTAGGTTATCCGTACGACATACGGATAGAACACTCAAAGGGTTAAAACTAATTCCTCTCGAGATCGAACAATTTCGGGATTAATTTATAAAAAGTTGTAAATTAATTGTAAAAAGCAATTATAAATTAAAAGTCACATACTTCTTATAGAATGAGAGGACAGTGTGTTAGAAATTTCTCCGGACCAAAATAAAATTCTCCGAGACTGCTCTGAAGCATAAAAAATAGGCGGTTAGCATTTCCCGCGTGAAATATCGCGAAGCAAGTCACGGATACTTGGAGAATCCACAAAACACACCGGATGAAAGGTGACAATCAGTCCGCGGAGTAATGGAGCCCACGTGTTAATCTCTAAACACGAAACGGGTCCGGATCTGGTGAAATCTGAAGCGTCGCGCTTCTGCAGCCAGCTATTTGCTGACACGACAGTCACTGATAGCACGAGCCCAACTTCCCTCTAGAGATTTTACCGCGAACGATCGGCAATTCCCGAGAAACTCGAGGTCTCTGTTCGTTGAATTCGCCCTTCTGAAGAGCGTTCAGCGTGCATACGCTCACGCGGATGTGTTTTTCTTTAGCTCCGTCTCGAATAAATGATGAGAAATTGGGTAGAACTTTTCCTTCGGACTACGTCTACTCGCCGGGTCCGATTGTGTTCTCATAAGAGCAAATCGTCGTATTTCGCTGCGCTCGTTGCTACGATAAAACGATACGCTTTTTCTTCTGTGCGTTCGATGAACGTGTTTCACACTGTTGAAGAATTTCAGATTTGACGATGTCAGGGTTTAGCAAAATGAACAATTCTGTGGAAGTATCTTCTCAACTTGTAATTGTAGATTTTTATTTAATAAACTGACTAGAGCAACTGAGTTATTCGACGAATTTTCGAATACCCGACGACGATAATTAAATGAGTGAAAACAAAAGAATTATAGAAGCTTCGAAATTCACGGGAAAGGGGTAGCGCGATCGAAATGAAAGGGAACGACTAAAATGTATCACATAAAAATGATCAGCTGCAGAAATTCATTCTTTCGACTGGATTCGCATAACTGATTCAAAGCGTATTCGCTAGCTGGCAGAAAAATGGCAAAAGGTCATCAACAATAATGGAAATTACTTCCACGATTGATCTCTTATCCTTCGTTTCAAATAAAACTGTGATTGTACCCCCAAAAATTCGAAAAGAATTCATTTCTACACCTAAGAATATCACAGAAAGGTCTTCGAAAGTGTAACAGACAATCGAACCAATTTTCTAGGGTTATCCTGGTGGCTCTGGATTGCCAGGCTTGCAAGGTGAACCCGGCGAAAACGTCTACGGTGTGCGGGGTGCGCCAGGTGATCAAGGAGACAGAGGAGAGCCTGGTCCATCGATCACAGAAACGGATAAACAGACGGGCAAGGGCGTGGCGACGAAGGGTAACAAAGGTGCGAAGGGGATGAAAGGAGTTGCGGGGGTAACCGGTCCAAAGGGAAAACCTGGTATCAAAGGTCCTTCGGCAAGTACCATTTTGTAATTTTCTATCGTAATCTGACGATTGGTTAGGAAAGAAGGAAGTGAACAGAGAAAGGAAAGGGAAAGAAAGACGCGTTTCGCCCTAAATAGACCTAGTAGATTCATCGTAAAGACTACCTTTTCAGGACAGTTAGACTCAGGTTAGAAATTGTATATACAGGGTGTCCCAGTTGGTTTCGATCAAACTTCGCCAGTGTCTTCTATAGGTGTATCTGAGAAAAAAATGTTATATAAATATAGGTCGTTTGAAGCTTCGTTAAAAAGTTATTCTTGTTCGAACGACCTATGTTTATGTAACTCTTTCTTCTTACTGTAGAATATATTCTCAAAGTTTAGTCAGAAGAAACTGGGACACCTTGTATACATAATCATAGGAGCCTTCGCGAGGACTAGTGAGAAAAGTTAACGATAGTTCGGTTCTCTAGTGGTGAAGCATAGGAGTAATATTTATATTAACGTTGCTAATTAGTAGATCTTGGTGGCAAAATGTCGAAGAATGTTTAAAATAAATCCTTAACCCTTTTGCTTCTGTTGTATTCATGTGACTACATTTTTATTTCCATAAAATATTTTGTAAAATATTCGAAATAAACGTGAACTAAATGTATTCTATTTAGAAACGAATATTTTATCTGTATTCTGCATTTAAAGTCTCGTGTAACTGTATTATGTTTTCATTATTCCCAAATGGACACAAATGAAAAAAGTTGTCAAACGTTTCACAAATGTTAAAGTGTTTTTAAATATTGCTGATTTGTCACGTGATACCTATTTTGTGTAGTTGTGAAATAATTTGAGAATGAAAGGGTTAATAAAGACATCGTTCCAATATAGATCTAGTAACTATAAAATAGATCGTTCTCAATCAAATACCACTATGCTTTCTTTTCACACAAAAATTTATTACCCCAACAGAGAGGAACGTTACAAAAATTACGTTATCTATAAAGTATACAAAATTCTATCAACGAAACCAGATAAAAAATACGAAAACAGAACGTTCTACGTATCTATAAAAATTCTAAAACCATTCGATTGTTCTCACCATTCAACGCGCTCTCCTGTTTCTAATCCTTTAAAAAAACACCGCAACACCTTATTCAAAGCGCGTTTGAAATTACTCACCGACGCAACAATCCGCTTGATGTTGCAAAAAACCAGATTTATCAAAAAAAAAAAAAAACAATTAAATACAGTTTTGTTCGGTATTCGCGGTATTCAAATTTCTGTAACAGATTAACGACAACCGATCCGGTTGTACCGTGCGCGCAACGCTAAACCGATTGAACGTTTGGTCAATCGGGGTGTCGAGAGAGAAGATACGGATAATAGGGAAACGCGGCGATAAAAATTCGAATAGCTTGTAAAATTAACAGATCATCACCGCGGATTATCGTGATGCTTCGTTGTGTGTAAACGCGAAATATTCACGCAGGGTCGGCCAGGGTTTCCTGGTACTAAAGGTATGAAAGGAGAGCAAGGCAACGACGGGCCACGAGGTAAACAGGGTTTTGAGGGACCGCCAGGACCTGCGGGAGAAAAGGGAGAGAAAGGAGCTCCCGGCTATGCTGGTAATCCGGGACCGGATGGACCTGACGTAAGTGTTCCGTTCCTTTTGTCACCGTAGGAATTTCGGTAATGTATTTCAATTGTAAATTTGGCTTAAATGCAGTAGCGACTCGTAAGAATTTGTAGCGATGAAAGTAAAAAAGGATCACGTATTATATCATTAATAAAATTAAAGGGAATTATTTACGAAGCGGAAGGCATCGGTTATTCGATGATTTTTAAATATGTTGGAAAAATCAACATTTTTAGATAAATGTATGTAAATTTGATAGCGGCGATAAGTACAGAGGAACTTTTATTTTATACTTATGGGCGAGGCGCTACTGTTTAAGTGACGTGCTATTTGACACAGATACAGTTAAAAAGTTTGTGCAAACTGTAAAGCAGTTTTAAGAGTATCGTTTTTCAATACGACAGTTGCACTTTGCATGAAATTTAAGTTACTAAAATGGTGGTCGAGTTAACTTTGCCACTGTAACATTATTGTAAGTTCATTACAGTGTGTAAGTTTGTTATTTGGAGTTTGATGTAGTTTGAAAAAATTTGAATTGGAAAAATTTAGTAAATTAATAGTTTTTAGGAAAGTTTCCTTTTATATTTGGTATTTAGGGAGAACTGGGAGAAACAGGAAACACAGGACCTCCTGGTAAACAAGGAGCTGCCGGAGAACCTGGAAAATATATACCAGAATTAGACGAAATAATTGAAGGAAACATTGGCATTCAAGGAGAACAAGGTTTATTTTACTTTGTGTTTATTAAAGTAACTAGATCGAACCACACAAATTTCGAAATTGTTTGTAGCCAAAGTATTTTCTTAACGATACATCGTGAAACTAATTCTCGAAAGAAAGTACGAGAAAGAGAAACAAAATCACGAGTAGAATCTTGTACTTTTCATAGAAGATTAACTTGAAACAAGGATTTTACACTAATCTTGTAACATAATAATTCGTAACTATCGTCAATATTAAAATTATCTATTTTCTACCAAAGTGCTTCATTTTGCAATATCACACAAAATCCTCTATTATTTATAAAAACTTAATTATAAGACACACGATTAATTACAACAACTACCATGTTTCTGCAGGTAGAAACGCCATTTCAATAATTTTCTCCTCTATTCAGGTCCACCTGGAAAGCCAGGAGAATCGGGAACACCAGGTTTGCCTGGTAAAGTAGGTTACATAGGACCACCTGGTCCTCCAGGACCTGCTGGGCACCCTGGATTGCCAGGATTGAAAGGATCGTCCATCAAAGGACAGCCAGGAGACGATGGTGTGTATTCGATGACAAGAGAAGCCTCCAATTGACTGATTCGCGAAATTCACTGAACGTCTTTCTTCTAGGTCTTCCCGGAGAGATGGGCTCTCAAGGTCCTCCAGGTATACCTGGGTTAATTGGACCCATGGGACCAAAAGGATATCCAGGAATATCGATAGTAGGCTCCGCAGGTTTGGACGGAAAGCCTGGATATCCTGGTGTTCCTGGAACAGCTGGAGATCGTGGAGATCCTGGTCCTTCAGGTACCCTCATTTTCAACGCATTAGAGAAATACTATAACATCTTTAACAAAAATAAGCTACTGAGAAAGGATATTAAAGAGTAGATTCGGGTAAAGTATCTAGAATTTCTATAAAACCCATGGTAACTTGGAACTGTTAACGTTAAATTAAAAGACCAGTATTAAGTCTAATTATGGATTAATTAGAAGCAATAGATACTATTTTCGATGTTTTTATTTTAGATAATATTAAACGATGAAAAAATGTTTTTCCTTCTGACGTAGAAATAAGTGTCCTCTTTGAATTATAAAAATTTGTTCGAATAGAATCATTTGTTGTCAAAATTGTAAAACGTAGGAACTTATGTTATAATGGAAATTATCGTGAAATTTTTCATAACTGTGACAATTCTCGTTTTCATTCGTCAGGCCCGAAGGGCTTCCCTGGCAAAGGAATTGGGATTCGCGGTCCTCCTGGTGAACCTGGCTTGCCAGGATTACCAGGAACTCCTGGACGCAACGGATGGCCAGGCTTCCCAGGTACCAAAGGTTTAAAAGGTTTAGTAGGCGACGACTGCGGCGTTTGTTTACCAGGTAAGCTTTCTTGATAAATTATGAAACGTGTAGAATCAAGTATCGGGCGTAAAATGGAAAAGGAAAAGATACAAATGCAAAGGTTGCAAGGATAAAATTTCTACCATAATGTTTCATCGAACGTAGCTTTTCTTTTCAAGTATAAATCACAATATACAGGGTGGGTCACGCAAAACAGACCACCTAGAGAATTGTCTTTCTTTAGCTACGATCGCACGAGAAAATTTGTATGCGTAATTTAAATGCTTTCAAAGTGTGAATGAAATGGCAAAGAATGAAAGGAAGTTTCACGTTTGATTTAAAATTTTAGAGTTCAAGGACGCTTTAAGTTCGATAAAAAAGAATATCTAACAAACAGAAAAAAATTTGTCAGCTATCTCGTTCACCCTTTCAAATCATTTAAATTACGTATAAAAATTTTATAATAAAGCAGCGAATGGAACGAAGATTGCACGTAGATTGTCAACGTGAAATTCAAAGCATCTTTTTATCCGAGCGTTTACGGAACACTGAACTTCGACATTCTATTTTAATTCTATTTTGAAAATCTGTGCGCTGATATTACTACATTATTCGGTGGCTTCGCTCCATTTGCTACCGGCGAGACAATATCAGTTTACTAGCGTGACTAATGATGATGACGTCTTGAGGTAAGAACGGTGGACAGTTACTGTTGTATCTGCAACTTGTAATGTGGGTATAATGTTATCAGGTCTGACAGTCCTCTCCACTTATCAGACATTAATCTTACGAACATAAATTTAACCCTAACTGTCAGCCTAATGAAATTATAGTTTGCTGTATTATCATACTTAAATACAGCAAGGACACTGTGAAAAGTTACATTGCAAATATTTTGATTGTGAGCCGTTTTTTCTTGAAAAGTCCAATATTGAAAAGAAAATGAGTTAAGGCTAGTTTCAGCTAAACATGGACGTCTTCTTTTTATATTTATAATAACAAAGTCAATACACTGCAATGTTCTCGTGAACTCGTTAAAAGAAGTTTAACTGTTAAGTGTTGTTGCATAAATGCTTTTTTTGAAAATGGTATGAGTTCATTTGTAGCTAAAAAGATCCTTGTTTTTCTTTGACAATATTATTAATAATTATTATCGCGTAATAAAATTTAACATGTTTACAATTTTAGAAAGATTAGAGGAAGTTATTAACGTTTGCCAATATTTTTTAATTATTTCGAACGTGAACCCTTAAATATCTCCATATAAGAGTAAATGGACTTTTAAATGGACCGTTTAAAAAGAAAAGGCTCATATAAGTATTTGTGATTTATTGTTATTCTTGTTACCATCATGTTGCACAAACTTCAAAATAATATCTTTTTATTTCGAAAGAAAATATTTAATAGAAAAAGTTAAGGTGTTTACTTTGTAACTTTAATTGTATGCATAAATATATTAGCTGATAGAATGCACTATTTAATCTTATATTTATTACGTTTATTATATTCAATATTACAGTTGGTTCTATTTATTTACAGCAAGTTATTGCAACTTCCGGTTGTTTTTCCTGTTATTAAAAGATAAGACGAGACATGCCATATGATATGTGATTTAAAGCCTTTGATCCAAAGCCTTCATCAAAGATCTAAAAACTCGCTGATATTACGAAACTCTTCCCTAGTACTTTTACTTCCTTTTCTTAAAGGATACAACTTCCGTCTAAAAGCAACAGATGCTGTTTACTTCAGATTCAGATTATAAAAAACTAAAAGCTCTTGAGATAAATCTGTTAGAAATATGTACACTCTAGAGTGTACTCCAAGTAATACATAAAAAATTCTTTAAGTCAAAGATTTCAGTAGATTTTAATATAATTCGGTAGATTTTAATAGATATCCGCAGATTTCAAAGGATTCTGATAGATTTCAATAGAATACAGTAGATTTTAGTAGAATTCAGCAGATTTCAGTAGATTTGAATAGATATCCGTAGATTTCAAAAGGTTTCGATAGATTTCGACAGAATACAGTAGATTTCAGTCGAATTCAACAGATTTCAATAGATTGTAAAATAGAATTCAGCAGAGATCACTAAATTTCAGTAGAATTCAGGAAATTTCGATACATTTCGTTACACTTTGGTAGATTTCACTAAAATTCAGTAGAATTCGTTAAATGTCACCAAATCTCAGAATGCTTCACATTCAATAAGCGTCCTCGTCCTTACGAACATCAGTCTATATGCATAATTCACAAGGACCACAACTTCTTTTCCACAATCACGAATATTAAACATCCCACTTTCACATTTTACAATTAAAAAATTTTCACGTCTGTTATAAACAAAATTTAGAAAGTGCAAACTCCGTGAAAGATACATTATTTAAAGAGTAGAAGAAAAAACACCTTTCGTTAAATATACTTAGAATATTTCTCACCTAGGACGACCTGGCGGTAAGGGTGAACTCGGTGATTCTGGACTGAACGGATATCCTGGAACGCCAGGATATCCAGGAATGCAGGGACCTCGTGGACTGAAAGGAATTCAAGGCAAACCGGGTCCTATTGGATCAAGGGGATTGGAGGGCGACAACGGAAGGCCAGGTGTCGCAGGTCCCCAGGGACCTAAAGGAGAAAAAGGAAAGCTGATATTGCCAGATGGCAAGGTCATTGGAGAACCTGGCGATGTAGGTGAAAAAGGTTATCCTGGTTTCGAAGGACTGAGAGGACCACAAGGTGCACGTGGTCTTCTGGGCGACACAGGACCTCCAGGACCTAAAGGAGAGAAGGTAAGGATATACTAATTGAATTTTCTTTCTTATCTTTTCGAATTTAACGACGTGGTGCAAAAAAAGCGTGCAAAATGTACATAGAGGGGTTATTTATAGGGGTGGAGAAATATGTTGAGAATGTATAATGACGTTTTGTTTGCACGGAGCCTTTGTTCCTGTCTGAGTTGAGGTTGCAAATTGATCGAGGTGTGGGACACGATTGCAGTAGCAGGAAAAGAACTTTTATATCGTTGAACGGTGATATAAGGATATACTAATTGAATTTTCTTTCTTATCTTTTCGAATTTAACGACGTGGTGCAAAAAAAAAAAGCGTGCAAAATGTACATAGAGGGGTTATTTATAGGAGTGGAGAAATATGTTGAGAATGTATAATGACGTTTTGTTTGCACGGAGCCTTTGTTCCTGTCCGAGTTGAGGTTGCAAATTGATCGAGGTGTGGGACACGGTTGCAGTAGCAGGAAAAGAACTTTTAT